GGTCCCCAAGTAGACCGTTCGATCCATTATTTCCTCAAGATCTCGGCTTTGAATTTGGTCTTTTGTGTGTCAGTAATGATTGGACATATTTTTTTGAGGTTTTTGGTAGTTAGTTTTAACCCTACTTTTGGGGTTATGAAGCTATTTTCACATCAATTTTTGTTTACTTGATGACATTGAATAAAGAGGCTCAATTTATGTATATTAACCTTATTCCCATTATTACTGGGGTTATCATTGCCAGTCAGGATGAACTGAGTTTTCATCTATTTGGTTTATCATGTGAGTTTCATCTACAACAACAAAAATTCCATAGACCTCTTTCTGTACATGGCTCCTATAGTAGATGTGTTTCTACTTCCTACAACACTCATTATGGAAAAAAAACGGGATCGATATCACCCTTGCCCGAGATGATATCAAGATCAGTTGGTATCTCTTATTCAATTCGGCACTACCATATTTGTGAATTTGACCAACTTTTTGGTCATGAAACACACCAGTATCCCATTTGTATTCCCACTGAGTTTTGTTCTCAAATGGTCTTGTAACATCATACAAACACTTTGAACACTATGCAAAGAGCGTCATTGATGAGAAATCTGGGTAGAAGCCACAGGAAAAGATGAATGTGTTGTCAAATTTTTACGAAACATCTATACAGAAGCCACAGCTGGATAAATATGTTGTCAAATATTTTACGAACCAATGATTATGGTGCTAAACCAATGTTGTGATCATATAGTTTCATTTATTGATGCAAGATAAAGTCTGTCTTCTTCAACCCCAAGGTTAGAAGTGAGATATGATGAACATTTTTTCCACAGAAGGGAAGCTGAAATTTTAAAACAAGAACTAGTGGAGCCAACTAAGATTGAACAATAGGTTATTAAACATCTCGACATGATATGGTCTGAATGGCTTTGTTCGAGATCCAATTAGATGTGGAGACATGAAGGAATTAGGATAAATCCTCCTTGTGATATGTTTCAAGAGTCAAATCAGAACAGACTCTACTCTCCTAATTAATTTGCTGAATTTGGCATATACATCTACATTCTTCAAAGATGATAGATTCTCTTTTCAAAGATGATAGATTCTCTTTTCAAAAATGAAAACTTTATTGGATTTCGACACAAGTCCAGTCGAAGAAAACTGATGTTATCAAAGACAAAAATAGGGACATCAAGGTCATAATTCTGATTACGACAAGAGTTCCATAAATGAAGCATTTCTTCTGAGACTTTAATGAAACAAAGAAGACACAAAGATACAAGTTGATCAAATGGTTCTTCAGAAAAGAAAGCTTGATAGCATAAGTTGTTACACTGATATCTGAAGGTAACCCTAGAAATAAATGATCAAGTGAAAGAAGACTGAGTTCACCACTTTGAAGTCAAATGAAAATTGCATAACATTCATGCATTCATAAGAACATCATTTGCACAATAGACAATGCATACATGATACATTTGATTGCATTTAAATATGAAGTTTTACAGATCTTCGTATGAAAAAAAGAAGATTCATGATGGAAAATACCTTACAAAAAGGAAGGTAGAATTCAAATCACATCAGGAGATGCAAACATCTTAAGAATAGATGGTCGCAATCCACAAATAAAACATCATTTTAAAATGGGGCATGTTACCCAATCAACAAGTTATTTTGAAAAACAAGAAAAAAATTTCAAAATTTTCTCATTTAATCTTTTCTGAAAATGAAATTGTTGAATAATAAGAAAACGATTTCCAAAGTTTATTTCTTAGTAAACTATTTCCCACATATGTAAGACCTATAGTGCAGGATGTTTTCAAAAAGCATTCGGGAGCTTTTTGATATTTAAAACCTATGGGTCATCTGTAAGTCCTACAGTGCAAGATGATAAGACCTCAGGGCATCCATAAGACCTACAGTGCAGGATGTGTTCAAAAAGCCTTCGGGTGCTTTTTGATATTTAAAGCCTCTGGATCATCTGTAAGACCTACAATGCAAGATGATAAGACCTCAGGGCAATCCATAAGACCTGCAGTGCAGGATGTGTTCAAAAAAGCCTTCGGGAGCTTTTTGATATTTAAAACCTCAGGGTTATCTGTAAGACTTACAGTGCAAGATGATAAGATCTCAGGGCCATCCATAAGACCTCCAGTGCAGGATGTTTTCAAATGAGATTTTAAGAAACTGATTTTCAAAGGTTTCTTGATCTTAAATATTTCAGATCATCTGTAAGACCTACAGTGCAAGATGATAAGACCTCAGGGCCATCCATAAGACCTATAGTGCAGGATGTGTTCAAAAAGCCTTCGGGAGCTTTTTGATATTTAAAACCTCTGGGTTATTTGTAAGACCTACAGTGCAAGATGATAAGACTTCAGGTCATTCATAACCTTGGGCAGAATATTTTTAACATTTCCATCCTACTCAAAGAAGCCAAATGATTTTTTTGTTTTTTTCGTATTTGCTCTATTCTTGTTAACACAAGAATGAGAAAAGAGGGTCAGCTGTAGACACTAATTTTTTCATTTTACTTTTATTATTATTAATATATTATTATTATTATTATTATTATTATTTTATAAATTATTACAAAGCAGACCCAAACACATTACATGCCCGTTTATAACACATGCCCGATCCAGTCCAGAACCGACCCAAACCAGATGAAACCTTAAACTCATTTAAGGTTTCTACCCTAGCGCGCCGCCGCCTCAACTATCCACAACCACTGCCGATACTCCACTGCCAGGTAACCCAACCAGCTGCTGCCACCCTCGTTGAAGACTCCAGAAGCGCCACACCACCCTCGCCAGAAGCCTCTAGAAGGCCAGATGGTCTCCCACGTCGAGACCCTATTGTGAGTCACCACTAGAGGTTTGGTGATTCACCTAAGGCCCCCTTCGTGATCGGTTCGAGAACAACATCATGGTGGTTATAAAAGCCACCGATCATGCGAAAGAGAAGACCACAGACAGCAACAGAAAAAAAACACAAACCAGCAGACAGAAACCAAACCATAGCAAAGACGAATGATAGCAAGACGGGAACAACCCACAGACAGCAACAGAAAAAAAACACAAACAGCAGACAGAAACCAAACCATAGCAAAGAGAATGATAGCAAGAACGGGAACAACCACGAAACAAGGCAACCAACAGAAACAACAAACGAAGAGAAGAAAAAGAAGAAAAGAGACTCACCGTAGCCTCCACGTATCACCAGAAACGAAGTGTCGAAGGTAAAACAATTGTAGATCTACGTTGTTGGGTAGTGTTTTAGGCTAAAACAATCTAGGATCTAGTTTTAGGATAAATAGGGCTTCATTTTAGGTAAATTTGTAAAATCCTTGACGGCGGATCAGGGTTGTCGGGTGGTGGTCGATTCTCTCAACGGGAAGATAGTATAGAGAGAAGGGAGAGGAATTCTCTCCTTATAGAGAGAGAGAAGAAAGAAAATGAGAACATTGGCCCATAGGGCCGGTTTAAAGGGTATTAATACCCTCATCAAAACGACGTCTTTTTGATGAGGGGTGTGTTCGTAATTTTGCGCGTGGAAAAACTCTTTTCGTAGTCATCCCAGTTTGTAATCTTTGAATTTTGTCACTGGAATTGATTTTCTGAACATTTTAATTTTGTTTCTAATTTTATTTTATTTTATTTTAGTCCTTGCCACTATATTTACATATTTAGGGTAAATACTATATTTAGCCTCATATTTTAATATTTAATATTTTAATCCCGAATAATTATTATAGGTTAGATCACACTATTAGTACTCAAATTTTATAATATTTCGAATTAGGGCCTTTAGGTTTTATATCTTATAATTTAATCACTGATTTTAATTTTTACCATAGTTTTCTTAATTTTTTATTTATTCCTATATTTTAATTTTCTCTATTATAGTCACTGTTTAAATCACATTTTAATTATTATCCTTTAAATTCTAATATATTTAAATTAGTACTTAATTATTAATTTATTATTATTTTAGCTTAGTCATATATATATATATATTTGATTAAATAATAATATTTATTATTTTTAAATATTAAGAAAGGACAGTCTTAATAACTAGATGTTCTTTTCTGATATTTTAATAAATAAATACCCTATTATAAAACCCTAAAAATATATTCTATTTAGTTTTATAAAAATTGTTTTATTTTAAGAATTATTGATTGAATCTGAAATAAGAGGATCATAAATTAAATTTATATTCGAATTCTTAAAACTTCTACTGTTAGAGACAATTTAAAATCGACAGGGACCAATTTTGGGCATTGTGGGTTCTAATTTTTCCCCAAATGTAACAGACCACGAATCCCTTTTTATTATTAAAAAGAACTAATTTTTGGTTAAACGCAGATCGGTTTATCTTTTAACTGATGTTTTCTTAAAAACTATTTAAACGATGATTTTTTATGTATTCGACCTACCTTACAAAAAGGCTGATGGCAACTCCCCAAACATTTCAATAAAAATCATTTATTTATTCACCATTATTTTTCCGCCAATGAAATTTGTGCCCGGACGAAAACCGGTTACGACAATTAGTATGTCCATATAGTCACATAACATTCAATTATAAATAACGATCTCTTGGATCAGTGAGCCTGAATTAAGAGCCAGCCCTTATCAAAGTAGCTGAATCCAACGAATGGGAGACAATAATATCAGCAATTACGATGCAAAAATAATGAAGTACCAAGTGAAATGAGATATAACCTCCCCAAAGCAAAACTTGCTTTCTTATTCTAAAATCCGTTAACTAAAGCGCCAATGTCACGGCCCCTCCTCTCAACCTCTTGACCTCTTTCAATCAAAGTAACATCTGCACCAAATTCTGCAAGAACCAGAGAAGCAAACAAGCCAGATGACCCACTGCCCACAACAGCAAACCTGGGTTTTCTAGCTGTGGAACACTTGTGCGATTCACCAGAGTTAATGTTATGCCTTTGTTCTCTCGGCAATGTATCATTGCTATCTTTAATATGACATACTAGACTGGTCAAACCACTACTAATTTTTTTCACTAGGGATGTGTTCTATAAGCCCAACTTATGCTCCAACCGGTTAATGAAGTCCCACGTACGAGGTTCAAGGCAGCTTACTAACATCCATATCCACAGTATACACAAACTTGGCCTCCTTCAGTATCTGAAAAATCATCAACAAATCAAATCAATAAAATGGATTTGATAAACAACTTAAACTTTCTTATTGTTAATGTTCCTCCTCTAACAATTAATCATCTAAAGCTAAATTGCAATCAATGAAAATAAAGGGATTAATACAGAATTTGAAGAAACTAACATAGGTTCCAACGTGCATCAATTTTCAAAATTAATCAGCGGAATCAATCAACACAATTAATTTACCTTTCTTGCATCAAAAGACTTCCGAACCACTGAGAAAGCTTCTTCTGGCAACATGGAAGCTACCTGAAATAAACCAAAAATTAGAAAATAAAAAAGATAAAATTTATATAAAAATAAGCTTAAAGAGGAGAATTTACTGGAAACTTGATGGCTTTAGAGATTTTTTGGAGCAAGCCAATATGGATTTGGAGAAAGTCTTTTCCTGGTTCATTTTGGACAGGAACAGCAAGCTTTGAGAACCTCTAGATTCCTTCGAACTTGGTGGTGGGGGAGGATAGAGGTTTCTTTTGCTTCAATCTCAGTTTCTTCTTCTCTGAAGGGTATATCTGCTTGCCGGTTCTCTTGGTGCAGAGGATTCGGACCGTTTGGCAACTAGGATGGAGGGATCTTGGAGTGGAATAGAGGAGAAGGGAATTGGAGGAAGGGTGGTGGAAAGGGAAGAGAAGCTTGGAAGGACATTGAAGCAGAGACGACATAGAGAGAGCAACCATTCCAACTGCCACCTTCAGCTTGGGGATAAGAAAACTTTATTAAATCTTCCTCCTTGCCAGTATAACATGTAGATATTTATATTTATAGTTTAACAAAATGTAATATAATATATTATTTAAATAATAATATTTTATTAATTAATCCATTGAATGATATTGGTGGTTAGAGGGAGTTTTAATCTCTTTTAAGGTCATGAGTTCAAACATCTATATTTATAAGGTGTGTGTGGTATCAATGATTATGAAGATCTTGGACAATACTACCTTGTAATTACCTCATACTATTAAAAATTAAATATTTTTATTAATACTTTAATAATAAGATGAATTGTAATTTAATAAAAATAGTAATAAATATTTTATATAAAAAGAAAAATTATTTCATGTATTGGTATTACAACATTACTAGTATAATTCTATTGTTATCATGCATCTCATTTAGAATTTAAGATCATATTTAGGTTCAAGATTTATAGTTGTATCTGCAAGGATCATATAGTGAAGGAAGGCGTGTCCACAAGTTCCTTCCGGTATTCTACTCTTTAATCTGCTACTAATATCACAGCTTGATATATTCTGTAATCTGCTATGCAGAGACTCCAAAATGGTGACAATGAAAAAGACAGATGAAGCTTTACCATAATAATTTCTTTCCAATTTTGCAGGTTTTGATGATCGCTCGAGAAGAGCTGTCTGTTATGCAATGATGAACCCGAATACGGTCTAGATAGGGAATGTCATGATCCTGAAGCAAATGTTGTTCTTTCATGTGGTCATGTGTTTCATAGCCAGTGCTTATGGCTGACAATAACCACTGTTCTAGTTGTTGCGTACGTAAGAACAGATAACTTGCATTGCTTGGGGGGGGGAATACAATTTACATACATATTAAAATACAACCAGCTTATTACAACAAACAAATTTTGTTAAAACACCTAAGATTTACATGGGCTTTACAAGTATTCTTCATCAGAAGAATTTTCCAAATCCGGATAAATCCCATTGTTAGATATGATAGCTATCCATCATATTTTCTGCTAACATGAGGGCGATTGCGAAACTCGATATTTATCATTTCATGCAGTTGATAAACAAGAAAGCTATCTTATCTAGCTTTCCTCTCAATCTTCTGAAATGTTAAACAAGAACTTCGGTGACGCAATTCGGGAAGATGAAGCAACAAGTCCAAATGAGTCCTTTCTTGACATTCCCAGCGCCTGCTTGCTACTAGAGATCTGTATTTCCTTCACAATCCTTCGCCTCACTCTTAGCCGTTTTGTTTACCTGGAAATCTTTTGCATCAAGTCCGTCACAATTTTCCCCTTTCGCCTGTGAATTTGTTCCTTTTGTACCGTCCTTTTGCAAAAGACAACAGAGAGAATTAACCCTTGCCATGAGGGATTTCTCATCAGAGGCTGTTGCAAATTGAGCGTCACTGAAAAGGTACTGTGCAATTTCCTCCAGCATTTCCTGGTCTGGTCTATTTTCAGAGGATGGATTTCCAAAGGTCATCTGCTCCGAAAGACACTGTTCAATATGGTTCATAAGATCATTCATGGACATAGATGGGTTAGGTCCAGGCACTTTTATCTGGTCCCAATTCCTCAGCTGTTTTGAACCCACTGCTTCACAAGTTCCTTCAGTGGCACAAGAGTCCATCAATAATGTGAAATGAGAGATTATTTGACAAGGAAGAAAAGAAAGTTTTTTTTTTAAAAAAAAATGCTTTGGAAGATCCATCTTTCTATTCAGCTAATAAGATTAAACCCAGGAAAGAAGGAATTGCATTATCACAAATACTAAACCCACAAGACACTGAACAAATCAAATAGTATGTATATGCAAAATTCGTTATATACATATATTTACACTGCTGTCTATATCAGCCCCCATCACAATTAGAAAAGATTTATCATTTCAAGAGTGTATAACAATTATACACTATTGTTCAGATCAAATGTATTCAACTTCCTAAAAGATCACATAAAACACCATATCAGGATCAGACTTCAAAGTGTAAATAAAAGAGAATGCATTAACCACCAGCACATAAAAAACAAAATACAAGTTTCTGATTATACCTGAACTGGGAAATCGGGCTTCCCTGTACATAGCTTCCGGGGTTATACCAGTAGAATCCCCTTTCTCAATCTCCAAAGAAGAAGATTGAGCTGCAGATGGTGACGCTATACTCTGGAAGCCAGAGGTAGTAGATCCTTTACTGGTATCTAACGCCAAATTCCGAGGCTCAAATATGGTGAATCCAAAACTATCTCTGGTCGTCTGCTTAAACAGTTTAAACGCATGTCACACTGGATAAGTTTCTCAAAATGTTTGTTTAACAACCCTTGGGGGCACTGCAAAAAGTGTTGTCTGCACAGCCAAAATATAAATTTTCCATTGATATATTAGTCTCATAACTATATACATACAACTGAGATAAACTGCAATATATAGTTTTTATTTCCACAAATAAGAATTAGATTCATAACTTTTACCTATATGCTAGCTTGGCCATCAGTAAAATCTGAAGTTGCCTGCCATAAGGTGTGTTTCTAGGCTGTGGATTAGTCTCCCGGAAGAAAAGGGGCTGTCTTGCCAGCTGCATCATAAAAGAAACAACCAAGGTCACACATATTCATTGAGAGAGATAGAGAGAGAAACAGAAGATCATAAGAAAAACAAGAAGTTTACACAACATTTAAAGTCCCTGGTCCATCATCGGGGCATTTTGCTTTAATTTCCATGATATCCGACCACTGTATTTCAATCTTACTCTTAAGCGCACCTTCCAATACCTCCCAAACAAGCTTGTGCTTTGCAAAATAACACTTGGCCACTAAATCACCTTCATGCCTCGACTTATACTACAAATCATCAGGCAAACAATCCTTCAGCTACTTGACCTCAAAATACATGCATTTTGTAAAAGAAATAAAACAAAACTCGTAAAACAATAACCTCCCAATTGCCGATTAGAAGAATGGAAGCTGGAAAGTTAGAGGCTTTAAGCTTATCAGCAGCATGTTAGCCCCTTTTTGACTCCAGAGCTCAGGACTTCAGCTTGGGCAGCTGAGACACTGGTTTGGGATTGAGAGAGGCGCATTTGGATCAAATCCAAAAGTGAAGGACTCTTCCTTAGCGTCAAACCAAGTGGACTTGGCTCGTCCAACGGATTAAATCGCGATGGCGGGATCGGAAAAACATTAGTTTCCGAGTTCCACTGACCAAAAAAATCTTTAAAATTTTAAAACCTCTGGCATAACTACATAAGATTCTTATTTCCCTAAATAGTTGAGATCCCTAAAATTACGTAATTTTATTTCATTAAAAAGAGGAAAACAAAATTGAAAGAGAAATTACATGTTGAATATTTGGAGATGGTTTTGATCGTTTGCTAAGAGGGCCATGTTCTTCCTCTAGAGAATCGTCGACGATCTCCAATTTCACCGGCGCCTTTTCCGGGCACGCCGTCGTTTGGATCTCTGGCCTAAGATTTCCGGATCTCATCAACTGAACCGTTCAATCAAATAGAAAAACTCGATTTCCCAGCCCAAAATTTGCGTAAAATCTTTTTTTTTTCTTCTTTTTCCTGGAAGAAAATTGAAGCTAAGACTAAAAAGAGAACAGATTTAGAAGAATCTGAAAACCCTAGAAATTTGCTTTTGGAACCACGCCTGTTTTTCTGACGGCGGGCAGGTGCAAGATCTCGTGTTATTCTGAGCCATTGAATGTGCAATAGTTACGAGATTACTTGAATTTCCTTGCTTTGTGGTAACTCTTGCAGGTTAGAGTGGAGGCTACTATTGTCATTCTGTCAAAAAGTCGAGAATGTTCTGGCAGAATCATAACACAATAATGGATAAGTGTGGGGCCCTGTAGATTAGGTTTCTTTTAAATGACGGCGTCTGTTTGGCTTCACCATATCGAGTGTGGTCTTTCAAGTTGATCGCCCGACTCTTGAAGTAGATGGATTGGGGAAGTTCTGTTGTGCGATGTTTGAAAAAAAAAAAAATAGTGTGATCGGTTAAAATTTAGATCGGTTATGTTATATCATTTAACCGAAAATATTATCAAGTATAATAACATATTAGGTACCACTTATATAATGTAATAGCTAGCGCTTATATAATAAAATATGTTAATTACTGGAAACATTATCAAGCACAATAATATATTAGGTACCACTTATATAATGTAATAGATATCACTATAATAAAATATGTTAATTATCGTAAACATTATTAAACACAATAATATATTAGGTAGCGCTTATATAATAAAATAGGCGATTATATAATAAATAGGTAGCGCTTATATAATAAAATAGGTTAATTACTGGAAATATTATTAAGCACAATAATATATTAGGTACCGCTTATATAATGTAATAGGTATCACTTATATGATAAAATAGGTTAATTACTAGAAACATTATCAAACACAATAACATATTAGGTATCGTTTATATAATGTAATAGGTAGCGCTTATATAATAAAATAGGTAACGCTTATATAATAAAATAGGTAGCGCTTATATAATAAATAGATTAATTACTGGAAACATTATCAAGCACAATAACATATTAGATACCACTTATATAATGTAATAGGTAACACTTATATAATAAAATAGGTTAATTACTATAAACATTATCAATCACAATAACATATTAGGTAGCGCTTATATAACGTAATAGGTAGCGTTTATATAATAAAATAGGTTAATTACTTAATTTGTTATTACAATATATTAGGTAAACACTTAAAATGTTACCAAGGATAACATAACTGGTTAATTATTATTTTGTTATTTTAAAATAACTTGTACGTTTATTATAATGTAATAACATTATTTTGTTATTACTTAACTTGTACGTTATAAAAAAAAGTTACGTTAATTGATTATAATATTTTTTATATTCATTTATTAACTAAAAAAATAATTGCATATTGTAATTAAGTTTATAATATAATATAATAAGAATATTATTTGAAAATAAATTATTTATGAATTGTAAAAAATATTTATTATCTAATTATTACATACATATTAACGTAATTTGTAAAGGACTTGCAAAGATTATTTATTTATTATAAGGATTTTGTTTTTAATGACGTAAAAACTCATTAATACTTTTTATAACGTACAAGTTAAGTAATAACCGCTTATATAACATTATTTTGTTAATTACTTAATTTGTTATTAAAACATATTAGGAAACACTTAAAATTTTACCAAGGATAACAATAAATTAATATTATTTATTAAAAAAATAATATTATTATTTTTAAAATAAACATTGCAAATTTATCTATTACATTATAATTATCGGTTTTTTGATGTTTTGGGATCGATACAATTTTAAATGTATCAACACTTTGTGCGTGCACCTCGTTGGGCATTCATTTTGGAAAAAGTATCGACACAAACTTAAAATGTGTCGATACATTATGTAGACCTATTTTCTCATAAAATCGGTATATTTATACTGAGTACATTGTAAATTTACCTTTTACATTGTAATTATCGGTTTCGATGTTTTTGGGATCGATACTTTTAATAAATGTATCGACACTTTATGTGTGCACCTCGTTTGGCATTCATTCTGGACAAAATGTATCGACACATTTAAATTTGTGTCGATACATTATGTTGACCTATTCTCTCATAAAATCGGTATATTTATACCGGTTACATTGTAAATTTACCTATTATATTATAATTATCGGTTTCGATGTAACATATGTGTCGATACTTTTTGAAAATGTATCGACACATGTGTTTCACTATTCTCTCATTATAATATAATTAATGATATATTATTCTTATTATAATAAATAATAAATATAATTATAATAATTTTATTTTAATAAAATATAATAATCATAATTTTTTATTTATAAAATTATAGATATAATATTTTAATAGTAATATTGACATAAATAATATTAAATAAATTATTCTAATATTTTAATTAAAAAATTGTATAATTTGTGTTTACTAATTTTATCATTAAAAAAAGTTTATTGTTATCGGTTTTGTTATTGTTGGGTTAATAAAACAGGTAAAAGATACCTAAAACATCAATGTTTTTTAACATTTCTGGTAAAATATCCAACAATAACAAAACCGTTAAAAAATAACAAAACCAGTAGTGCTTTACCTGTTTTGTTAAAATAATGATATTTTCGATAATTTTTAACGGTTTTGTTATGCACAACAATAACAAAACCGATATATTTTTTCCCGATAAAATGCCAAATAATAACAAAACCGGTAGAAATAATGATGTTTTCGGTAATTTTTACTGGTTTTGTTATGCACAATAATAATAAAATCGGTACCACTTTTTTTTAGTCAATAACAAAATCGGTACCGCCTTTTTTTAGCCGTATATTAAGCGCCTCACGTGAGCATTCCCCAGATGGATTGGATTACATTAACTTTTGGTAGATGTATACTTTACCCCAACTTGATAAGGTATCTATATTTTATCTATAAGCACTAGAAATCAAAAAGTCATTTTATTAATTTAAATTTGGAATTATGTTTCATCTAATGAATTTTTTAAGTGTTTAAAATATTCTAATCGATTTTATTTTTTTATAGTTAAATTTGATCTATTTGATCGTGATTTAATGATGATAAATCGACATGTTTGATAATGATTTAATTACCTTTTGAATTTGACATTCAATTCAAGCAATGATTGGAAGTATTTATATTCAACTTATTAGGTTTATGTTCATTCATGTTTATATTAAGATTTTATATCGTTTCGACTAATCGAGATAACACTTATATATTATTTTGTTGATATTTCTTCATTTGGAGCCATAGGTTGGATTTTGATATGTGGTTTGTGTTTATAGATAATTTTCTCACGATGCTCGATTTTAATTTGCGGTTATTAATGGTCTTTCAATAGTTTAATCATCTGTTGTTGTTTGGTTGTCGATGCAGTCAAATCTGTTTGTATCTATTTTGTTCGAGTTTTTGGGATGAGTTTAACCTTTTTCTTATATGATATAGATTGGCTAATTTTAAATTTTCGTTGTGATTTTAATTTTTTTTTAATAAAATTAACAACTCTATTTGCATTTAAAAAAACATTCATCATGCATATTAGAAAGTATGGAATTAAAAAGTTATATTAGAAATTTAGTGTAACATCCTCAATACCGGGTTAGTGACTAAATTGTAAAGTTTCAGAATTTGGTGATTTAAATGGGAATATTTCAGTATTGGATTAAGTGGTAAATATGAAAGAATTAAAAGGGTAGTATGGTAAATTAGCTTGAAAGATATTTTCATCTCCCTATTTAGAGAGATAATACTGGAAAATGAGAGAATTCTCCAGAGTTATCTTCTCCTCTTCCTTCTTCATACGTGAGGCTTGAAGTATAAGGTGAGTTTCTTAATTT